TTACTTACCACAGCCAGATGTAAGTTTTTTATTGTTGCCATAACAGTTGATGGCACACCAATGTTGTTGTTGTTTCTGGCAGATTGCCAATAAAATGTTGGGTCCGTTCATGACAATTTCATAGGGTATCTTATTTAAGTTTCTAAAAAAATACCAATTAACCAATATTGAAATTAAAATAAAATTTCTGGATAATAATCGTTTGAAATAATTTAATTAATCTGAAAATTTAATTATTTTTTCGTCATCGTAACTTTTTTCTAAAAATTTATATATTCTTTTCATTGCCCACAATATTGAAGTTAGTTTTAAAATAGTGTATCCTTCCTTCCTCATTAATATCAGGTTTGAGTTTGAAAGAAATCAAAAAAGTTACCAGACCCATTTTTTTATTTCAACTACCAACTGCTACACCCGAGCAAAAAACTGACACTGGCTTTGTAGCCCAAAACATCCAATTATTTTTAATTGTTAGTGAATACATCATCATAATGGGGTCAAGCATTACATACGAAAGATAATTTCACCTGTAAACCACCGTACAATAATATTACAATTATTTCTACCCAATAAAATGATATCGATATGTTAAACAATAATGTAGCTCGAGACGCAAGAGTTTATTTCAGCCAACATCGCCTCCACGCACTAACTGATTATGTTGCAATGAATTAGGCATAACATCTTATACAGGTGCAACGCTGGTATAAAAGTTGTTCTTCGTTCATATACCGAATTAAACGTGAAATTCACCGATTCTTTTTCAGTAAAAAATTCATAAGTTCAAATTATAAATATTTTTATTGTTTGAATCAGAAAATAAAAAAACAGGTTACAATTTTGCTCACTTCTTATTCATTGCTAATAAAAAAATGGGGAAGTCGTTTGTCTCTTTATAAGTTTGTCTTTTTAATATAGTCACACTACTGTAAGTATTTATTGAACTTTCCCAAATTTCTCCAAAATGTCTTACGAAACTGAACCATGCGTGGAAAATCTATAAATAAAAGTAATATAAAACTACATAAATTTTAAACAATGTGATTAATAGCTAAATGTAGCACTAGATGGCGCTAGTGACAATAATACTAATAATACAAAATCCTCAAGTTTAACAGTGTATTATCGCTGTTTCAACTAGTTTAATAAATAAACTGTGTGTAAACAGTGGCTTGCTGTTAACATTAGGTTATGAGGTAAAATTAACAACAGAAACCAAAACAAAAGATAAATATTCAAGATAAGATGAAACTGTAGTAGCTTGATTTAACGAGTCACTTCTACCGCACCTTATACCGATTAGCAGATTGATAAAACATTACAAAGTTAAAAACTATACAAAACCGTAGCTTATCAACACGTATAGATGCATATTTCTTTTTTCCACACGCACTAAATGTAAGCATATGTTCTTCAAACTTAGAAAGGTCTGACCATCTAACAAACAATGGAATTTTAGACAGAGTAGGCACAGGTTAAAAAAACGCTACTGGACTTCAACTGCCCGTTCAAAGAAATGGAAACGTCATTTCAGGAATGTAGAGGCCTCTGTATAGAAGCCGAAACGTTGCCTCCTTTTCTTTCAACAGGTAGTTGCAGTCCATTAAAGTTTTCAAACTTAATAGGTAAGTTCAGCCATTTTCTCACCTGTACAAAGTTTACTTATTGAAACGATGATGATGGATACAAATGTGCTGGTCTACTATAGCCATTAGCACTTTATTTTTTATTTCTTTACGATAAAAAACATTATGATATGTGGTCTCACAATTTTATGTTTTATATAATGTGTAGATCAGCCGTAGGTGTGTTTGACTTCTGTATAGATATATCAGTTGAATGAATATATATATTTTTCTGTACAAAGTCATTAAATAGTTTCTGTTAACAAATAAGGCCTGGTATGATTTTTGTTCACACTTATATGCCTACATATTTCACAGGTTCTAAGCTATCAACAACACTGCTGTATTAGGAGAGACACAATGGTTTCTACAATATTTATGTTTTTCATTACACACAGTTTAATATTCTTATGTTAAGGTCACTTATTTTTAGTCCTCACAATAGGTATTCTCAAACAACCACAGTTTCAATTAAGTGAAATTATCTATTTAATTATTTCCAATTCTGCTACTGAACAAACATTTCATATTCCTGAAGTGAAAAAAAATTAACAGTTTCCATAGTTACAAAAACCAAAGCAACAAAAATGATTTCCATAGTTACCAAATGCATATGAGCAATGGTTTCCATAGTTACAAAAACCTTAGCAACAAAATACATCTCTACTCAGCAATTTTCTAGGGTGTTTTTAATTATAAATCACACACAATATCATATAATTTAGACACTTCTTTATCTCTCTTTACGATATATATATTACTCTAATACTATACATAGGGGGTCATTCAAAATTAAAGTAACGTTATGGGAAGAGAAACGATGTGTGAGCCTGTGTTACAGGGGTGGGTAGGGGTGTCATGAACAGTGTTACATAATATAAATCACAGCAAAAGCATGTGAAATATCCAGAAAAACATGTATTGCAATTTAGCCTACTTCGATATGAATTTAAAACACTTTTAATAACTGGAACATTTGCAAACAGTGTATGTAACATATTTCAGAATAATCTGTTGGTCAAATTTCACATAAATATTTAGGTCCTTACTATGCAAACAAAAACAAGAACTAGTACTGTTCATCGGAAAAAAAATAAATTATTTTTTAGAATTCCAAAGACAGTCTTCAGTTTGAGCTTTATATGGATGTGCCTTACCTATATATATATTCACATATATATATATTAATTATATAGATTGGCTTTTTTTTTAACGCAGCACAAGTTGTACTTAGTAAATATGCGTAAAAGATACAACTGCGATAAAATTTATTGTAACTGAATCAATTAATAATGATTACTTTAAAATTTAGAGATTAACTGGTAGTGTTATTTCTATTCCTGTATTTATCAAAGTTCGCTGCATAATTAATGTTTCCATAATTTATCTGATTTAATAACGAACCCATATAATTATTGTTTAATATACTTAAAAGACATTTAAAAATCTAAACTAAAAATAGGAAAAACTAAAAAACTTAGAATTCACAGTCCGAGCACACTAACAACTGCGCCACGCCCGGTCTTACGGTCAATTATTAATCGTATGTTTGACTCTTTTTAACGAGCATGTTTTTATTTTTTGTAGCCTAATTACTTGAAATGCTGGTATCACATCCTAGGCGAGTCCCTACCAAGGACTGTAAGAAAATCCTGAAATAACTAATTCACCCAATTTAATTTTCCTCTTATTGAGTATACAAAGGATGTGACGAGAAATAACATGCTCCATTAGAGTTGTTGTACGTCATGTTATTCTTTCAGAACATCGAACGGTTTCGTCCACGTTACACGCATGTATATTACAGTCATAGGACTAGAATTAGGCAGCACACCGGCCTACTAAACTAAATTACGGTTATTTTTAATATTTTATGATATCAATAAAACAGCATGTGTCAATTAACTACACTAATAGAAAAAAACTACTCATGTAACATCACATCATGAAATTCACAGTTTTTGACTTTTTACACAAAATTTTTCAAATCTTCAAGTTAGTTACACTATTGGTAAACGCAGATGAATGAAAAGCGTTGTTATATTAGTATCAGTTTTTGTAGATGAAAAACAATAAACGTTTAAAAAATTATATACGTTTTGAAAACTTCTTTTAATATTCTTTTGTTTCACACAATTTCCTGTTATGTTATTTACTTATGTTTGGCTTGGCTACAGGATATTCAAGTTTTGCTCTAACTTTTAAAACTGGATAAGTCAAACTGCTACGAACACTTAAGACTTAGCTTACACCCTGGCTACATTGCTGATCTATGTATCACTTACCTTACAGACAATAAGCCTACCTAAGTTGCTAAGCCTTATACCACAACCTTAAAGACACTAAGTATGACTTATAACCTTATAAAACTTCTATATATATAAAATTGGGAAAAACCAGTATTTCTGTATCATAAATCTATTCAAACAATGATCTGACAGTAAGCAGAGTCCACCTTGACCTATATGTCCACTATCCTGATCCCTACCTCGCTCTTAGCACAGTATCCAGCAAGAAGCATGGATTTCTTCAAAAAAGTTATCACAACATAATATGTACCACTTTTGAAAAACTTTTCATCTATTTACCGGTAGAAAATGGCACAAGACTTGTTACAGTTATCAAGGTACACATAAGCTTCGTTCATAGAGTTTTCTACATTTGGTCTTCCTTTCCTGAATATGTTGTGGAAGCATCTTGTGTACATGTGACTTCTGTCACTTTTCCAGATGGTGGTCCTTCTTGGTTATGTTTCATACTGGTTCCTAGCACATGTGGACAGCTTTTACCACTGACTTTTGTGTTCGATATCCTTAACTGTTATAAGACGCCGCACTTTGCGTACAATGACTATGACTCGAATTGTTTCAGGTCTCTTTTTTCGATGGTC